GACCAACAAAAAATAGCAGAAACAATAGTAAATACCATACACAACTCAGTTGCTTTAGTTCTGACAACTGTGAATGCAAAATCAAAGTGGGGCACACTTTGTGCTCTGTGAGTGTACCATCTGCTCCTGCCCCGAACAGCTGGTGTCATGTAAGGAGCAGAGCTGCCTGTGGAAATTTTAAATAAGTGGGGTTAAGATCTGGAAGCACTTCCTCCAAGAATGACAACAGATGAAATACAACCCACCTTGCATCTTTTTAAAGACAAGGCATAAGCAAAGCAACATTACCACAGGCTGGGGAAGTGGCGAATCAGGGCCAAAGTGAACCAACCAATCAGGAGCATAGGTTATGGCGATTGTTTTTTTTTTTTTTTGAAGATGCTCAAGCCATTTTGCTTGCTGATTTTCTGGACAGCCACAGAATATCAGCTGCTTAGTAAGAGTGTTGAGAAAGCTTGAGCTCCAGCTTTAGCTAGAAAATGCCTGGATGAGCCTCTCCAGAGACTTTACGGACAAAACCCTTGTTCTCATTCCTCTCAAAGGACAAGAACAATTTGGTGCATGTATGGGTGTGAAATCATTAGGTATACACATATAACCCTAGTTTGACCTCTTTTGGCCTTTCTGCTTCCTAAATCTTAAAACTTTTTACTTAAGGGTCCAGCATGGTAGCCAGTGGTTAAGTCCTTCTCTTAAGCTCACTGGGATCCCATATGGGCGCCGGTTCTAATCCCGGCGGCCCTGCTTCCCATCCAGCTCCCTGCTTGTGGCCTGGGAAAGCTGTCGAGGACAACCCTCCCACGTGGGAGATCTGCAAGAAGCTCCTAGCTCCTGGGTTCAGATCAGCGTAGCTCTGGCTGTTGCGGCCGCTTGAGGAGTGAATCAGTGGATGGAAGATATTCCTGTCTGTCTGTTCTCCTCTCTGTATATCTGACTTTGCAATAAAAATAAAAAGTATTAAAGTAAATGCAGGGCCCGGCGGCGTGGCCTAGCGGCCAAAGTTCACGCCTTGAACGCGCCGGGATCCCATGTGGGTGCTGGTTCTAATCCTGGCTCCCTGCTTGTGGCCTGGGAAAGCAGTTGAGGAGGGTTCAAAGCTTTGGGACCCTGCACCCGCGTGGGAGACCCGGAAGAGGTTCCTGGATCCTGGCTTTGGATTGGCATAGCATCGGCCGTTGTGCTCACTTGGGGAGTGAATCAACGGACAGAAGAGCTTCCTTTTTATCTCTCTTCCTCTCTGTATATCTGACTTTCCAATAAATAAATAAATCTTTAAAAATAAATAAATAAAATAAATGCAAAATAAAAAATTCTAAAAAAAAACCCCACTTAAAAACTATATGAAGCTGAACAGACACAGTCTTCCACCTGCTGTTTCACCCTCCAAATGTCCACAACAGGCTGGCATAGGCTGAAAGCAGAGGCTCACAATTTCATCCAGTTCTCTCACATGGGTGGCAAGGATGCCAGTACTTGAGCCATCGGCTTCCTCCCAAGGTGCGCGTCAGGAGGAAGCTGGATCAGAAGTGGAGTAGCTGGGACTCAGCCCAGGCTGGCCAGAGAGAATACAGACAATTTCAAATGAAGACAAGCACTATGCCAAAAGCCTGTCTGTCCTTCATGTTGAAATTGGATCCCCATGATGAGATATTAAGGGATGGGACCAGGTGGAACTGTTAGGTGATTGAGATAGGAAGGCCCTGCCCTGCGAATGGATTAATCCATTCATGGCTTAATGTATTAGCAGATAAAAGGGTAATCATGGAAGTGGTTTTATCATCCAAGCAAGCTCTTTCTGGCATCTTGCTATGTGGTATCCTCTGTGGCAGGAAGGCCCAACAGAGGTCAGCGGAGCTCACGGACTCAGACCTGCGAGCTCCATGAACCTATCTAGATTTTCACTTCAGAGATTCTGCCACAGCAACAATAGCAAATGGACTAAACGTGAATGGAAGGCAAACTAGATTGATGGCAACTGTAGAAAACCAAAAGGCATGCCTGTATTCAGCGAGTAATTGTGGTTCAACCCCTGCATCTTTTCTTTTTCTAAGATTTATTTATTTTTATTAGAAAGGCAGATATACAGAGAGGAGGAGGGCCAGAGAGGAAGATCTCTGTGTGATGGTTTACTCTCTAAGTGGCCACAACGGCTGGAGCTGAGCGAATCCCAAGTCAGGAGACAGGAGCCTCTCCTCCGGGTCTCCCATGAGGGTGCAGGGTCCCAGGGCTTTGGGCTACTTTCTCAAGCCACAAGCTGGATGGAAATGGAGCTGCCGGTACTAGAACCGGCACCCATATGGGATCTGGGCACGTTCAAGGTGAAGACTTTAGCCACTAGTCTATGTTATTGTGCTGGGCCCAATCCCTGCATCCTGTACAGATCTAATAGTTAGTTGTTCTAATTTTTCAAGAGAAGCTAAACATTTTATGTCTAAAAATAAGATGGTGTTAGATGAAGATACGTTGGGCACAGGAAGGGAGTCATTCACCTGGGGCTTCCTAGCTCTTTGTGTTCAACTCACATGGGTGGCAGGTACTAATATCTTAGAGATCTGGCTTGGCTGTTACATCAGTAACACCAAGGGACCACGGCTGTCTGTATTCTGTTGTCTAGACCCTTTCTGTCCCTGTGGGCTTGGCCACATGACTTGCTTTGTCAAGGGGTAATGGAGGTTTGACAAGTAGCTGTTCACTGGGGCTTGTCCTTTTCGGAGAAACCAAACAGAAGCTTGTTAAGAAGCCGCATGGAGAACAGAGATTGGAGAGGTGGAGTCATTCTGAATGAGTCCCCAGCCAACTGCAGCTCCATGAGTAACTGCATTTTACAGCACGTGGGTCCAGCTGATCCTGGTCAACCCCCACAACCGTACATTGCAATAGTTAACAGAAGCAGAGGTCATAAATTGTAACTCCCTTGCTTTACTAACGGTTCTGAAGGATCTGGTGAAATTGGGGCAGTTAGGGACCATAACTCTTCAATTCTGTTTCTTTTTTTTTTCTCTATTGCCTTTTCTTTCAATTCCTTTGTGAAAAGCACCAGATAAGGAATGTGAAAACTTCAAACTCCACCTGCAGGAAACTTGACCTTGTGTTTTAACATACATCCAAATTACTGCCATAATTAAGCTCTTGGGAAATAAAAACATTTCTAGGACATCCAGGCCCTTGGCTTTGCAGGTGTGATAATGAAAGAAAAAAAAAAAAAACCTTGACAGAAAAGAATCTGGAAATCGGCCTGGCATGGTACCATCAGCCAGGATGCCACGTCAGTAGATGCCAGCTCACCACAAGGCCTCCTATTCTCCTTAGAACAAAAATCACTATTTCACCATCAGACAAGACCACTCTGAGACCATGAAAGATCAGAACAAAAATAAGACCATCCCTTCGACATGCCTGAGCGCACATCAGACATGATTATTGTCCAAACCACAAACAAGAATGAATAAACACCCATCTTAGCCCATTGGTGGGGCTGTTGTTGTTTCACCAATGACTGCTTGGGCCTCAACCAACAACTTCCCTCCTCCAGATAAGATTGATGGAGATGGCCAGATCCAAGAATGACCATCACTTTCTGACAAAATGTTTTCTAGGAGAAAGTTTCGACTGCCTTCAACCTCCCAGGTCACCCAACCGAGTGCCCTTCTCCCTCCCCTGCCCCCAACCCCCCCAGTTCTTCTGGTCCCTCACTTCAACCCTGGCTCAACCATCAGCGTTAGAGGCATGGCTAAGTTAGAGGCCGAGTTCCCCTCAAAGGAGTCTCTACTGGTTTTCAGCTTTTTCCCCCCAGTTTCTGGCTGGCATCCCCTTCCCACTGTGAACCCCTTCTCCGCAGCTGCCAGAGAACAGGGGGTCCTGTCAGTCACATTCTGAGCTGATTCCCAGTTGCCCACAAGCTGTACGTGGCACTGGTTGGGCACTGGAGCAAAAGGGGGCATGATGGCTCAATGGCTATATCCTCCACCTTGCACTGCTGGCATGCTCTATGGGCGAGGGTTTGTATCCTGGCTGCTCCACTTTCTGTCCAATTCCCTGCTGTGGCCTGGGAAAGCAGAAGAGAATGGTTCAAGTCGATGGGACCCTGCACCCATGTGGAGGAACTGGAAGAGACTTCTCATGTTGGCTCTGGCCGTTGTCGCCATTAGGGGAATGAACCAGCGGGTGGAAAAGCTCTGTCTCTCTCTAAATCTGCCTTCCCAGTAAAAATAAATAAGTCGTAACACCTCCCCCACTCCCCCCCAACCGGCTTTTGAACGCATGAATGAGGAAGAGGGGTTCCGTCTACACAGGCTCCCTCTGACCCTTCGGCCCTGGGGTGCTAGAGGCCACGGCGCGTGGCCATCCCTCGTAACCAACCACATCTGCAACCCCTTCCCTCCTGGGGCGCTCATCCTTTGGGCGCACCCTCTCTCAGCGGGGCTTCTTCCCTTCCCGGCCTCGTCCTACTCCGGAGCCCGCAGACCCCACCTAATTCCTTCATCCCACCTGTCTCCATCACCTACCCTCCCCCACGCCACCATCACCACACAGCAACACAGCAGCGGACCGGCCAGCCGCGTCGCTACCTAAGCAGCGAGTGGGCACTGCAGAGGCGACGGCGCATGTGCGGAAACCGGCCGCTCACGCAGGATCCCTTGACAAGAGAGGAGTTGCCTCCGAGTTTCCGTCCCGGTCTCTCCTCCGCAGCCTGGGGCTGCCAGGAAGTCAGGATAAACCAGCCGGAAGAAGAAGCGTCGCGCATGGCTTTCTGGGATATGTAGTCCTGACGTTCTCCCCGCCCTGTCGCAGGAGCATCCCTAGGGTTATTTAAGGCGCGCATCCTGCCTTCCCAGGACATTGCTCCTTGGAGCTCCGACCGGTTCTCATCTCCTGTGCGGAGCTCGTCCCGGAGTCGCCTTCCCGCTCCCACCGCACTCTGTGGGTCCCGCGGCGGCTGCTGGGAGCTGTAGTGCCCGCCCTGCGTGCTGCGTTCGCCGAGGGGGAGGGCGGAGCTGCCGGCGCCCCGAGCGGGCTGGCAGCTGGAGTGGGTGCGAGAGCCGCCTCCGCCTCCGCCTCTGCCGCCTCCGCCGCCTCCTCCGCCCGGGCCGTTCGCTGCTGCGCGGGGAGAGCGAGGCGGGGCCGCCGCGGCCGCCATGGAGCCCGACTCGGTGATTGAGGACAAGACCATCGAGCTCATGGTAAGTGCGGCCCTCGGGACCGTCCGTTCTTCCGTGCGTCCGGCCCCACAGGCGGGCCTTGCCCACACCTCAACGTCCGGCGCGCGGCCGGCCTTGGCCTTGCCGGCTCCTGGCCTCGGGCCTGGCGCGGTGCCTCCCGATCCCGGGGGATCTCGGTGCCCGGCTCGCTGCTCCCCGCACCCCGGCCCTGTCCCGACTCCAGGCCCAGCTTTCGGGGGGCGACTCTCGCCGGTTCATGCTGCAGCCATAGGTCACAGCGGTGCTGGCGTCTCATGCTGCTCTTTTGGGCACGGGATCGCCACCCCTCTCCCCTCCAGCCCCGTATTTTTCTGGCCCAGGCCCGCATTGGGGCCGAATGATCGGCCAGGGCTGCCTTGGCCTCCGGGTCCTAAGAGGGGCTCGCAGCACCCTCACTCTAACCTGGGGCTTGTGAGGATGGCCGGGCTAGGTCCTCCGGGATGGGGGGTGGGGGAGCTCTCGGATCGGAGGCTGTGACGGATCAGCGGCCGAGTCCCCGGGCCCCTGTGGTGTCTGGAGGCTTCTCGGACAAAGGGTTTCCTACCCAGCCGAAAGGGATGTTTGCACAGCAAGGCCCCAGCCAGGTACTCCGGATTCCATGCCCCTGGAAAGAGAAGCCGTAACTTTCTGCTTTCCTGATCTGCTTTGGGGAATTGAGATGGGGAGGGTGGCGGTAAGCATCGCTTTCAGTTCAGCAGCCAATTCTTTTTCTCTCCCTTAAAAAAAAAAAAAGGGTGGTGGTGGTGGTGTTGGGAGAGCGGTTCCTTGGCCCCTGGGGAAACGACCATTCTGTTAGAAACCATTGGCTAATACTCCCGGGTTCACGGACACCCTGCCTCCCCTTGCCGCTTGTGACTGGAGTCCGGAGGAGTTTTGTTAGTGTGAGAGTGGCTAGCGCAAAGTGAACAATCTGCTCATTGGCGCACGATTTGGTGGAAGAAATAAAACATGGCAGGTATTACCTGCCAGCGTGCAAGATGAGAGAGATCCGACGGGGCGCGGGAAGGCAGGCAGGCAGGCTGGCTGGCTTTGCTTCATTCAGCAGACAGGCCGACCCGGGGAGTCTGTCCTGTAGCAACCTCGGCAGTTTCTTTGTAGCCTTCTCAAGATTGTAGCAACTTCCACTCCAGGCTTGAGAAAAAGGCGAAAGAATCTACTTAACCCAGCAAATCGTTTTCCCAGCCAAGTTTTCTCCCAGTGTGAACGTGTTTATTGAGTCAGTGATTCCACTGGGTAGGGTTGGTGACATCAGAGCCACTTCCCCCATTTAATGCTATAAATAATAAATGGTGGCACTGAAAGGCTGTTGGATGGCTGCGTGGTGTCTGTGGAAGATGGCATCTGGGGAATTGAGATACGGGTCTTAAAAATGGAAGCGCAGTAGCATCAATTCCGAGGCAGCTGAATATTTGTTGTCCTCAGCATAACTTACAAAGCCAGATTTCTCCAGCCTTCTTGAAAACTGGGGAAAAAATTCCAACAGTTTCTGATTTGAGTGTGTATGTATGTGTATGCGTGCGCATGTATCGGGTTAATGTGACTTGGCTTTTTGTTCGATCTTCATTTACGCAATGATTTTCCTTTTTAGCCCCGTTTGTTAAGCTTTTGTAGTTAAGTGTTCTGTATTTTGCTGCTCTGTAGTGTCTAATTGGCTATCAACTGATCTTAATAATCTTTATCAATCTTTGCAGCTTTGATAAAATAATCTTAACAGTGGTAGTTACGTACATGGCATATTTTTAGGATGTAAAATTCATGCACTCACCACCAGAGTACTTCGCATTGGAAAGTTGCTCAAAGGTTCTGGGCCTTTTGGCCGAGATCAAGAGAAACATGGCTAGCTTAGGCTGTTGTGAGCTCCTCCCGCTTCTATTCGCATAAGAAGTAACTACAGTGTCTGTTTTCAAAAGAATTAGAAGAAATGACTGTGCCGTATAACCCAAGGCAGTGTGCTTGAGGACCTCACTAAAAAGAAAAAAAAATCTTTGGCCTAAATTTACTGGCTTCGTATATTCACAGCTTAGGAGAGCTTGATTTTACATGATATAATACTTGCATCTGATCTGACGGGAGATTTCAGCTTCTTAACGAGATTGTAAAGTAGGATATAAATTTGGAGTTTTAGAAGATTTAAGAGTTTAGTAGTTAGAGTCAGTTTAAAAATGACTCTTCATTTAAGGATTTTTGATATTCCCTGAAAGAACAATCACTTAATGTTATTAAGACAAGCCTTTTCATAAAGTTGTACGTGTGTATTTATTTTAGTACAGCATGTAACACAAATCCAGGACCAAATGCAGGAATAATGACTTAAAAATTCAGTTGCTTGTGACTTTATATAGTTAATGTGTTAGAAGCTTTCAGAAGTGAGTGTAACGTATTTTTTACATTGATTTTAAAATAACCTAATTGAGGGAATGGGTTACACTGATGGTGTTTTAGAAACCTAGAGCATGAAATATTTTGGGTTTTTATGCGTGAACTTCAGCACTCACATGCTTGTGATTGTGCTGGTGTACCAGTTCGAAACTTAGCCCAGATGTATCAAAAGAGCAAACAGACCTTATGGTTTTCTTCATTTCTTAATCTTCATCCCTTCAGATTCTTTATATCCACATTCTTTAAATTCTTGCACTTTGATTAAATCTACTGGCAGTGAAGCTGGTGATAGCAGAATAATCAGCTCTCCTAATGATAATGCAGGCTGAAGGTCCGGACCCCCTTGCCCAAGTCCAAGAGTTTCCTGAACCTCCTTGGGGTTCCAGCTGCTGAGACAAATGAGGTTACGGTGTCTGAATCACCTCATGACTTTCCTGGTCTTGCATTGGCCTGGTGTTGTACTTACTTTGAGGGCCTGGGTTTTTTTGTTTGTTTTGTTTGGTAAGATCAGCTCTATTAGGAAGAGGGAGGGGTGGAAAAGTAGTAATCCATTTTGGAAGCATACAGAGTTGACCAGACTAAGTGGAGACCCGCGTGGGATTATACGCCCCATGCTGTTTACTAATTCTTGGCTTTGAAAGGAGCTCATCTTCAGTCCATCATCACTAGCAGACACTCTCACGTGTTGTTGATTGGAAGAATTTCTCTTCAGCTGTTGAAAGGCAGCAGAAATGGTTGTGAAAAGTTTAGCAAGGTGATCGCGCCCCCATCTGGCTGCTCTTGTCTCCCTTCCCCTCTACGTCCTCAGTGGACAGTTTATACTCTGGATTCGTGTCCCCACTGCTAAATGACCCTTACTAAGGGAGTCCTTTTCCTTCTCTTGTGTCTTAAGTGGCCATGATGCTTGTTAAACCAAGTTAATAGAAGTTAGAATGCATTGGTCCTTATTATGAAGATAGGAGATAAATTCTGTTTTTATAGCTGTTGATGTACAACCAGGTCACAGGGACAAGGAGTGAGTCCGTCAAGGAATCGGGCTTATCACTTACTCTCGGGCACCTCTGGTTAAGCGCTAACTTAACCAAATGTACATTTCATAGATGCAGATTTCGTTAGGGTACTAATGAAATAAAACAGATGCATATTCATTGACCTCATTGACCTGCCTAAAGAGGCTGTGACTCAGATATATCCATTTTTGCCCTGATTCTGCAGTTGGTTCGGTGTCCTTTCATGTTTGACAAGGATAAACTGCTATCATATGTCTATTGCAAACTCAGATGACTAGCCCAGGGGAATCACCATGCTATTACATTGGTTTATGGAGCCCCACTTTGTCCCTCCAGTGAGTGCTATTTGAGCTGTGAATTCCAGAAATAGAGGTCAGCGTTGCAGTGCATCTGGTTAAGCCGCTGTCCGTGAGACTGGCATCCCGTTATGGGTGATAGTTTGAGCTGCAGCTGCTTCGCTTCTGATCCAGCTCAATGATAATGCACATGGGAGAGCAGTGGGAGATGGCCCAGGTGCTTGGGACCTCTGCCACCCACGTGGGCAGCCCGGATGGAGTTCCGAGCTCCTCGCTTTGGCTTGGATCAAGAGTTTATGGCCACTGGGAGAGGGAACCAGCAGATGAAAAATTTCTCTGTGTTTCTCTGTAACTCTGCCTATCAACATTGAAAAAAAAAATCTAGAAATAAAACTTTCTGCTCTGTAGGGGCTCTGGGATCCGGGTTTCACCCCATGATCTTTGTGCTTTACTGAGAAGAAGGCATTTCAGATCCCAGTGCTTGCAAAGCCGGTCTCCTCTCAGACTCCAGTCTTGCCTTTCCTCTCACTGTCCCCCTATAAAGCTTGGAGGATTGTAGTTCACCAAAATCTGCTCAGGCTTTTTCTTTTTTCGCCATCAGTATTAACTGGCTTAAGTCCATTTACTGAAGGCTACCAACATTTCCTGTGAGGAGCTGAGAGACTGGACAGACTGGCTTAGTGAAGTCTCATCAACCAACCTCTTCCAAGTCTATGCTAATAAAGTTGGATCCATTCACAAAGCACCAAATGCCGTCACCTCCACTGAAAGGGTTGATTTACATTATGATGACAGTTGCTATCTCTCTCTTTTGTATCTGTAATTCAGCCTGCTTGAAATTTGTTGTTAAAAGAATGAATTCTGGCGCCCAGTTCCACAGCTTAATTGATAAATCCTCACATTGCATATTGCATCTGTCGATATTGCATTTGGGCACTGGTTCTTTTTTTTTTTTTTAAGATTTACCTATTTTTATTGTAAAGTCAGTTATATAGAGAGAGGAGGATAGACAGGGGGAAATATCTTCTGTCCGATGATTCACTCCCCAAGGGACCACAATAGCCAGTGCTGTGTCGATATGAAGCCAGGAGCCAGGAACCTCTTCTGTGTCTCCCACGCGGGTGCAGGGGTCCTAGGACTGGGCTGTCCTCGACTGCTTTCTGAGGCCACAGGCAGGGAGCTCGATGGGTAGTGGGGCTGCTGGGGTTTGAACTGGCACCCATATGGAATCTTGGCGCATTCAAAGCGTGAACTTTAACTGCTAGGCCACAGCGTTGGGCCCTGGGCACTGGTTCTT